CACCCCGGTGCTGCCTAGGGAAGCTGGCCTGTGGGCTGGACCCACACTTGGCTCACCTCCAGGTCACTCAGGAACGGCCGCCCTCCCACGGGCAGGTCTCAGAAGGCTGGGTCGGGATGGCCTAGTGCTTCGGTGAGCAGGGGCCAGGTGGGAGGGCTCCCAGGGGCCGCAGAGCAGTGGCTTCAGGTGGGGCCCTACTGAGGCTTCTGGCCTCCTTTGTGATGCAGACGTGGGTTCCCTGGAGGCGGGGAACATCTCCAAGCACCGGTGGGGAGTTCCATCTGGGTTTGGTGTCGGGGGAGGGGCAGAGGGCCACTCAGGGAGCACAGGGCTCCCTGCGGTCCTGACCCCTCCTCCCTCCTCGATTCCACAGTCCAAAGGGGCCACAGGGGCGCTGGGAAGGAAGGCCAGACCCTTCTCCCCACCCTGCCCGAGACCCAGGGACCAGAGAGCTACACTGGCCACAGGGGTTGCAAAGCCCCTGCTAGGGGATCTCATCACTTCTCTCTCTAGTGAGACTGGTGGACTCCAGGGGCCATGACTGGTGGAAGTTTTGGAAGAGGTGAGGGTCGGGAGAGACCCTTCTGGACACGGAAGCATCCCAGTGCTTCTGGGAGTGAATCAGGTGCCCTGCTGATGGGGGCTGGGGACTCTGGGCAGAGCAGGTCCCACCAGAAGCCAGGTTTCCGTTCTTCAGGCCCGGCTTGAGTATCAGCACAGTTCTGCTTCTGTTTCAGAATCCCATGGAACAAGTGGTCCCCCCAGGCCCCTGGGGCTCTGGAAGGGTGACAGGGTAGGGTCGTCGGTGCCCAGACCCTGCTCAGGCAGCCTCTCCTTTTGGCCCCACCCTGGGAGGAAGACAGCTCTGCGGGGGCGGTTACCAGACAGGACCCCCAGAGCCCAGGCAAGGCTCTACTCAGCCCACTGTCTGCCTCCCGGCACCCACCCCATCCGAAGGTTGGGAACCCCACCCAGAGCGAGGAGCTGGTAGCCTGGCCTGGAGGCTGCCTGGGCTGCTGTCCTGAAACGGGAGGAAGTTGAGGTTGGGGGAGTAAGAGGTCAGGACGGCTCTTCCTGGGGCGCTTTGGGCAGGCCAGGGACCGGCCTGGCCAGCCAGAAACTGCTTCATGGGGCGTGGTGGCCCTCGACTCCGCAGGCAGCTCAGCCCAGCCAGAGCGCCTCTCCTTATGCCGCCACAAGCCTGCCCAGATGCAGATGCTGGCGGAGGGCTGGAGCTCAGCCCGCTTCTCCCACCCCAGCCCTGCTCGGGAGTTCCATCTGCAGCTCTGTCAGCGAAAGGCACGCTGTGAGCAAGCGAGGGTCCGGCGAGCCGAGGTGCTGAGCTTGTCCATTCTGTTGGGGGGGGGGGGCAAGACAGTGCTCAGGGACCTGGCAGCAAGAGAAACCAGCAAAGGAGCTCCAGACCTCCAGCCCAGCCAGGTCCCTGGATGCAGTGAGTCCCAGTCCCACTGCTGGCTGGGACACTCTGGAGGGTGGATTTTAATCTTTCCTCCTGGGTGAGCTCAGGGCTGGTGGATGCTCCCTGCTCACCCCTCCCTGTCGCTTGGACAAAAGATGTGAGATGTGAAGTTGGAGGCCCAGTCCACCACGGTTGGGGGGAGGGGGGTACCACCTCCCTTAACAACCTTGGGACCAGGGCAGGTCCAGGAGTTAGCCCCGGTCACTGCTGCTATGGGCAGGGAGCTCTTCTCAGGCCCAGCAGACACCTGCTCTTGACTGCTGGGCCCAGCCCTCTCCTGCTACGCCGCCCCCCCCCACCGCCAGGCAGGACAGTTGTGGGCCATCTGCTGTCCTCTGCATGGAGGCCAGCCCCATCTGGCAGGTGTCTCTGGGCCTCTATAGGGCAGGATTCAGATCTCTCCTTGGGTCTGCCCATCTGTGTGGCAGGCAGGCATGGGGGGCCCGGCTCAGAGAAGGGAAAGGCTGGAGGAAGTTGGGCATTTCTGGAGCACTCAGAGAGCTGGGGTGAGAGTCCGGCCCGGGGGAGTCTCCCTTCTACACACCTTCCCAACACCTGCTTCCTGATGTTGGGCCTTGGGTATCCTGGCCAGGAGGGAAGGGGCTGGGGTTGTCTGACTGTCCCTGAGCCCCCAAGCCAACCCCAGTCAGATGAGAGGAGGGAGGCACAATGCCAGGCACAAAGATGTGGCCAGGAAGTACGACGTGGGGCAACGGTCACCAAGCTGAGGGCCGTCGGCGATAGTGTCTGGAGAGGCTGGGTCATCCGACTTCCAACTCTGTAGTTGCTACTTCCATGGTCCCTGGAGTTCCTTCTACCAGGTACCTAACTGACACCTTCATGGCTAACGAGTGAGTCTATTAAACCCTCGCTATGTCAGTCACTGGTGTGGTCTGTCTCCAAAGCGCCCCTGACTGATGCATATGTTGGTACCAAGAGCGGTCCCCATCACCACACGCTCAAAGATGGATCTGGGGTCTGACTGCAGGGCTGTGTTCGTTGGGAAGGGAGAGTCATGGTGTGGGGTGATCTCCCCACAGGGGCTGTGTTGTGCCCACCGAATCAGGGGCTGTGGGAGCTCAGGTGCCACCGCACATGGCTGTTCAGGCAGTGGCAGTGGCCACAGGGGCCGTGGCATGGGGCAGCCTCTCCTGGAGCACACACAGGAAGAGAACAACGAGCTCGGGTCATGGCCCGGGAGTCGGAGGGCTCCGTGGCCCCCGAGAAGCCCCTGCGACAGGCACAGGGCTGTAGTGCGGGCTCAAACACGGCATTTAACTATGAGCTGTGCAGTGACGATGTCGGCTGCACTTAGAGCCTCACCAACTTTCTAATGAAAAACTGGGGCACTGAGATGGGACCCTGGACCTTGGAGGGGCTCAGAGGAAGCAGAGAACCTGGAACCGCCAAGTCCTCCAAGCCCCTTTGCAGTGGATGCAGCTGGGCTCCCCAGTGGGTGACTTGCCTTTTCTTTCTTTATAAATCCTGAGAGCCTCATGGGCTTAGGAAGGAGGACGCTGGCTCTGTTCAACCTCCACTACCCCCTCCTTCACCCATTGACTCTAGACCCACAGAAGGGATCTCATCTCAGCATCTTCGGGGTGTGGGGCTCAGGTGCGAAGCTGGTCCTGCAGGATCTGGCACATACACCCCCATAACTGCAGGATTCCGCTAATCTGCACTGGGACCTGCGAATTGTGTGTGGGAATGCAGTCAGGGGGTCGGGCCACGGTGGAGGGGGTACAGCTCTGGGCTGGGCTGGCCCTACTGCTGGGGGTATGCCCACCACAGATGCCGGAGCTAACGAGTGGGCGTACACCAGCGGCCGGCAGTGATGCCACCAGGCCACGTGGCTGTGTGCCCTCTGCACCGGGGTCTACCGTTAACGAACTTGAGATGCCAGAACCTCCCTAGCAGAACCAAGCAGGCACCCAAAGGTGCAGGGAGGACTTCTCGCATGTGATCGTGCACCGCCCCCCTCCCCCGCAGCCCCCAAGAGGGATCACGGGACTTCTCTTCTCCAGGCTCTGGTTGCGATGAGCTGTAGGGCTGTGCGTCCTGCTCCTGAGCCATCCCTGCATTCCCGTGCGTGCTGCTCTGGGTGTGTTACTAACATGCTGCCTGACCCGGGTAGACTGGTTTGTAGCTTCCTTTTGGTTGGGATTATGCTTTCTTCCACAAAGAACTTAGAAGCTTCTTTTCCTTGGCCTGGAGGGGTTTAGAGACATTTGGAATTGACTGTTCCTTAAAGGTTGACAGGTTTTTCCATCTGGAACTGAGCCTGCTTTAGGGGAAGCTCCTGGACAACCTTCTCTTTTCCTCCTTGGCAACTGTCCTGCAGAAGCCCTAGGCCTATTTTGATGAGTTTAGTTAAATATTTGTCTAGGAGCCAATTCATTTCATCCAGGCCTCAAAATTTATTTGCTCTGAGAAACATAATTTCTTATGATGTTTTTAATTTCCTGTTTGTTACTTTGTCCTTGTCACTTTAAAATTGTGTGTCTCTGCTGTGCCTGACATCAAGCTTTTAATTGCCAGGGTGTCCGTTTCAAACAACATCCCATCTGGAAAACGTGTGTTGCCAGCTGTAGGACACTGCTGTTAGCAAAACGACCAGAGCAGGAAGTGGGCTGCCCACACCCGTGAGGTGCCCCCTCAGGAAGCCCTTGGCTATCTCGGTAACTGACTGCTTGTATGACCCTGCCTCTAGTCTCCCGAGACCCCATTCCCACTCTTCTGCTTCAAACTAGCCAATAATGAGTGACCCACGAAACCCCAGAGATCCCACCCTGAGACCCTACTAAAGGCTGAACGCCAGGTTCACGGTCTGTCCTGCCACGGGGCTATGCGGCCCCGAGCCCGCTGGGGACCTCCAGCCGTGGGAGTGTAGACCTTTTTCCCAAGGGCACCGGCTGCCCTGAGAGCCGGCACAGCCGCGCCATCTGCCTGTCGGGAGGTGCACGGGGCTCACTGCAGTGAACTCGACGGCCCCCGTGCTTCCTCCGTCTTTCTCAATAGAGCTGCTGTTGGTTCATCTACTTTATTTCTGAAGAACAAGAGTTTGTATTTATTCTTCTTTTGTTCCTAATTTATTAATTTCTGCTTTTATCCTTAATTCCTATCTCCTGATTTCTTTAGTTTTATTGTCTTTCTCCAACTTCTTGAACTGAACATGTACTTCGCTTTCTTTCCATCGCTTGGTAATCTGCTGGGGGCCGGACTTCCCCCGGCGTGCCGGGGCAGCATCCCACAAGTGCTCCTCTGCACGGGTTTTGTTATGACTAGTTCTTCAACTTTCTTTGACTTCAGCTGTGATCTCCTCTTGGACCCCAGAGCCGTTTCACACGCAGGGAACTCTGAAAGGTTGATTTATAGCTTTGTTGCCATGAGATGAGGTAACACCATCTATACACTATCATCAGCGTTTCTTGGTGTCTCTCTCCTCCACGGAGTCTGAGCTACATCAGTTAGGCCCACTGTACCCCGCGGCTCAGGAGCCCATCCAGGGTGGAATGGCCGGGGGGGGGGGGGCCCACATCCGGGCCTCGAGAGCACGGGGTCAGTGGAGCCGGCAGCCCAAGGATGCCTCCCTCCGGAGTCTGACCTTCAGCCTCCTCAGGCCACTGTGCTCGGGGTCTGCCAGCAGGCCACTCTCCACTGCCATCCAGGCCTCTGCATAGCGCTGCTCCTCCAGGCAGTTCTGGCCATGGCACAGAAATGCCTTGGCAGTGGGGCCCCGACCTGGCCGCTCCCACAGGCTGCTCTGGGCTAGGGTGGGTGCCAGCTTGAGAGCCTGGGCAAAGGCCCCAGCGGCCCTGGCCCCATCCCCCAGGCTCAGCAGCAGGCGGCCCTGGGAGCACAGGTCCTCCACCTGCGTCGGGAGGTCGCGGTCCCGCACGTCCCCCTGGAGGACATGGTTCAGGTCCTCCAGTGCCCGGTCAAACTCCTGCAGCTCAGCCAGACAAGTGGCCCTCAGGCGCAGGTGATGGGCACTGCTGCTCCCGGCGAGGACTGCCAGTGAGCAGTAGCCCAGTGCTTGCTCTGGCTGCCCCGATTTCAGGAGGGTGTTGGCTTCCTGGGCTGCAGCCTGCACAGAGGGGACAGAGGGAGGCAGTGTGGGACAGCCCAGAGAGAGACAGGCCCCTCCCCTGCCCAGCTGGCCTCTGTTCCTGACCTGTGCAGAGCGCTGCCCACTTCCTCCAAGGGAGTGGAAGTACAGGGTAGAGGGCACGCCCTGCAACCCCACCACCCTGGAAGCCCAGCTCTGATGGGGTCCCTCTGGACTCCCCTCTCCTCCTCACTGTCCCCCCACCCCCAGCCCCTACTGCTTGTTATCCGGTGACCTGCTCCCTCCTTCCTCCCTGTCTCAGCCCTTCTCTGCGGTGCCTTCCCCAGAGGCCCAAGGATGGGCAGCTGCCAAGGCTGCCCTGGCCCTGAGGGCAGGAGCCCGCACCGCCTCTGCCCAGCTCGGTCCCTGGACCTTCTCCTCTGCCCGAGGTCCGGAGGGCAGGGTCCGCGGAGCATGGCTGGGTTTCTCAGTGCAGGGAGCGGAAGACCCTGCAGAACCGAGTCGGCGCGGAGAGGCTGCGCCGCCGACGGGCCACCCGCCCTAGCATCTGCCGGCACGACCTCCAGGGCTTGGGGTTCGCTGTGCTCGCGCCCCGGACTGGAGCGTGGTGCCGAGGGCTGTGGGGGGCGCCACCCAGTCCCGACCTCCGAGGATGCCGCAGGGCGGAGTCTGAGGTCAGCGGGCACCGTCCGACCTCGCCCTTCCCTCCCTGGGGGCTGCCGGACCCCCGTCGGCGCGGCCCAGCCAACAGGCCTCCTCTGCCCCAGGCTCACTTCCTCTCCCGGGGATGGTGGACGTCCCCTCCCCCAGTCCACCCACAGGCCGTCCCCTCGGGTCTCCGGCGCCTGCTCTCCTCCAGAGCCCGCACTGGCTCCCCGCTGCCGGACGAGGGTCCCGGGGCCGGCCTTCCCCGCTGTCCCTGTCCCTCCGCCCTGCGGCGGGTCACACTCGCGGTCGCCGGCAGGAGGGCCGAGCCTCGGGCGCCGGCAGCGAGCGGAGCCCCACGCCCCTCGGACCTCCGAGCGCCGCCCGGATCTCGGAAGGACCGCCGCGGAGCAAGCGCAGTGAAGCCGGAGGGGCGGGGCGCGCGCCGGAAGCGGGGCGTGACCTCTCCGGTTGACTTCCGGGTCGGCCCGCGTCGCCCGGCAACGGCCCAGCGGGTCTCTACCGCCGCGGAAACCACCCTGCGCGCCGCCCCAGCTAAGCCCGCGTTCCCGCGGGTCCTTCCTCTCCGCTCGGAGAACCCCGTCCGCTTCCTCCTCCTGTCTCGGTCCGCCGCCCCGCACCCCTCCTGTCTCGGACCCCCGCCCCGCACCCCTCCTCCTGTCTCGGTCCGCCGCCCCGCACCCCTCCTCCTGTCTCCGTCCGCCGCCCCGCACCCCTCCTCCTGTCTCGGACCCCCGCCCCCCCCCCCCCCCTCCGGTCTCGGACCCCGCCCCGCCCCCTCATAAGGGCTCAGAGACTCTACCGAAGTGGTCCTGGGTGCTGAGACCCCAGCCAGTCCCCTCCCCAAGGCTCTGCTCCTCTGAGCACCAGGTCCTGATGACCCATTCATCCCCCGGTGGCAGCCGCCCCCCTGCATCACCGAGGGCTGTCTTGGCTTTCTGTCGCCAAGGCCTGCGCAGCCACCTGCTCTATTAAGCTCCGTGGCTGGAACACCAGTGTGGTTTCTGTTCTGCGGGGGGTCCCCAGAGAACCCCCTAGAGTCCTGGGCACATGCTAGCGGGAGGAGGTAGGGGGCCTGCCCGACACCACAGGGGGTTTGATTCTGAGCCGCCCCCACTCCGAGGTGGGTTTGTGCTGGTGGCCGCCTCTTCCTGCTGGTCCTCTCCCGCCCTCCACACAGGTGAAATGCAGCCACTTCAGGGGAATCTCCTCTCCTCCCCACCTGCTGGAGCTCCTGCCCTCTGTCCTCCTCCCCTCCTCCTCCTGGTCTGTCATATGGGGCCCAGAGGCCTCTGTCACCCGTCCCACCCCCTCCTCCATCCACACCAGCCGCACCGACGTTCTGCCTGTTTCTTGAACTTTCTGAACTCTCTTCCTCCCTCAGGCCTTCACCTTGGCCTGTCTGTCCCTCATGGTTTCGCCTCGAGTGCCACCTCGTTTCCTTACTGCCCTGATTTAGGGTCTTCTCGACACCAGGACACTCAGAAGGGCACCCTCACCCTGTCTGCCCTGAGACGAGGCCCACAGGCTGGGGCAGCAGCTCCCCGGTGGGTGGTGGAAGGCGGCCAGTATGTTCTTGTTGAATGGACAGCGGAACGACAAGTCAGCCAGCCAGATGCAGCGGCCCCGGCCTGATGCCTCCCTCAGCCCACTGCCTTCCTGCCGTGCTCTCGCTGGGGGGCGGTGGGTGCTCTCTCTGCCCGACCTGGGGGTGGGTGTGGGCTTCCTGCAAGGGCAGGTGCCCCCAGCTGGCTCAGCCAGGTCTGAGGAGGGGTCCGCCCTGTCTCCCAGGCCCTGTCACCTGTGGGATGCCTCCCGCAAAGAAGCCAAGAGGTTGCTGGGGTTTAGGATGGCCAGACTGGCTTGTCCCCCCTGACGCGCAACTGAAACCAGGGCATCCGGGAGGGCGGAGCAGCCCTGAGCGCAGCGGGGCCCGGGGAGCACACCTGGCTGAGGCGCTGCCGCTCCGAGGCCTCCAGGCGCGGCAGCAGGAAGCAGAGGTCCTGCGCGTCCGTCTCGGCCAGGCGCTGCAGGTCCCGCGCGGCGGCGGCCGCGTCTCCCTTCTTGAGCCAGAGCAGGCCTCGCCGGGCGCAGGCCGCCTCCGACCCCGGGGTGGGCTGTGGGGCGTTCTGCAGGCAGTCTCCAGCTTCCTCGTAGCTGCCTGTCCATGATCCGGGAAGGACAGTCAGGGGGCTGCTGGGGCAGGCAGCAGGAGAGGTGGGACACTGGCCACCGCGCTGGGAAGCCGGCCAGAGCCGCTATTGCTCGGTGTTGGCTCAGGGAGATGGACATGGTGGCACCACGCCAGTCCCAGCTTGCCTGCTGACCCCGTCATGGGGGGGTCCCTAAGCTGCATGACCCCAGGTTGAGCAGCACGACTCTGAGCACACTCACTGTGGTCACCACGAGGGGCTGCCCTGAGCACCTGCGTGAACATGTACTCGGCCGCTGGGCAGTTGTAGGCCTTGCCAGGGGCGCTCCGCAGGCTTGGAGGCGACGGGGACAGGTCAGGGAACTGCAGGCTGCCCAGAGCCCTCCCCTTTCACATTAGTACTGGGATTTTCTCAGGGTTTTGGCACATGGGGGCTTGACACAAGCCCACCTACAACCTGGCCTAGTGTCCACAGGCCTTCTGTAAATGGCTGTTGAGTAAATGCATGAGTTTATGAGAAGCCCCAAGCGTCTGGGTCCTTTTATGAACCCCCAAGTTGCTCCTTTATCTGTCTTCCCTGCAAGCAAAAGTACACAGGTGGACGAAAGCTCAAAACACTGGCACCCCCGGCCCCACACCGGGACCAGGTCACAGGGACCAGCACTTGGGATGGAAAGGACACCAGGGGGCACTGAATCTAGGGTGTCTCTCTTCCATTTTACAGGACAGAATCAAGGGTCAGATGGGCTGGGGCAGACACCCACATTCCCCACACCCGGGCCGGGCATACCCATGGCAGTGAGCACGTCTGCCTGCAGGAGGTGTCCGCTCAGCCGTCCACCTTCGATTTTGATCAGCGCTTCCCCCACAGCTAGGAGGCCCTGGGCGTCCTCGTCGCTGAGGGTGGCCCCGGTGTCCAGCGGTTGGCTCAGCAGGGCCCGGCAGCGGGACCAGAGGCCCTGGGTGATGAGGGCCTGGGCCTCTGGCTTCAGAGAGCGAACCTCAGGGACCACCGTCCCAGGGTCGAGCTTCAGAGCTGAGAGGATGTCGTCCACAGCCTCCTGCGGGGGGAGGAGGGCAGGGTGGGCGGCAGAATCGTCCCCGCTGGGCATCTGCCCGGGTGCTGGGGACACCAGAAGAGGCAGATGGCCCAGTTCTTGTCCTCCACGACAGGAGGCACAGCCTGGTGAGCTGTGTGCGGCCAGGGTGCTGGAGCTGTGGGGAGGGAGCGCTGGCCGCACCCAAGGGCTCTCGCTGAGAAAGAGCCCACGACGGGCCGGGACAAATGAGGCCGCTGGCGTCCGCAGCCGCCGCCCGCCTCAGCAGCTCCCGCGACCGCTTGTCCTCACTCCCTCGCACTCCGGCCCTTACGTCATTAAGAAACCGGGCAGGCAGGTCACCTCTGTGCGCAGGGCCTCAGGGCAGACACTCAGCTTCAGCCACTCGCCTGTGACCTTGCTCTTGGCTGAGAAAGGCCCCTGTGCAGCTGTGCAGCTGTGGTCGCCTGCTCTGTGAAAAGCACCTGCCTGGGGCCGGACAGCGCGGGTCCCCTCCCACCCCTGTCCCTGCAAGCCGACCGCGTGAGTCCACCGGCTCCGTGCAGAGAGCTCTGGGTGTCGCACCCAAAAGGCAGCCGAGGTCTTCTTATTTTAAGTGGGGGGAGGGGGGCGTCTAGTAGCCCCCAGGGTTTGCACAGTCCGTGCCGAGTCCGGGAAGCAGCGGGCCTCTTCCATGAAAGGTCTGAGCAGAAAGGGTTTTAATGGGTCCCGCACTCAGGACGGCCCGGCCCGGCTCTCTCTGTGCTTTGGCTGAGAAGGAAGGAGGCCGTGCTCGTTCCTCCCCTAACCCCCTTGCCCATCCCAGGTGGGCGGGCGGCCCCGGTACCTTCTGCTGGCCCAGGGCCAGGTGCAGAAGCGCCCGACCACACAGCGCCTGTGCGTTCTTGGGCTCAGCCCGCAGCACGGAGTTGAAGTCGAACATGGCCGTCTTCTTCTGGCCCAGGAGCGCGTAACAGCGGGCACGGGTGAGCAGGGACTCAACTGCCTGACTCCCTGGAGGAAGAGGGTGTGGCATTGGGACGTGACCGCTGCTGGGCCTCGGTGGGTGCGGTGCATCTGCCCTCATTCAGCATTCGAGGCCCCCTCAGGGAGCTCACAGACAAGCCAAGACACAGCCTTGAGGGGCAGCTGGGGTTTGCCTGGGTGCACTGGCCATGGGAAACAGGGAGTCCAACCGTGAGGGTGGCATCTAGGCTGGTGGGCAGTCAGAGAGGGGTCCCAAGAGGAGGGGCCGCTGCAGCGACATCTGAGGTGAGGCCGGAGGAGGGGCCGGGAGGGGGCCGGTTCCTTGGGGCTGGACAGGGAACAGCTGAAGGTGGGAAGTTTCCAGGTGGGCCGGGAGGAGCCCTCTGAATGCTGGGCACAGAGGCCCCTCCCCAAGGACAGCGCCACCCCGCTCCCTCCGGTGTCTGTCTGGTGACGGACAGGACAGCGCGCACTCTGGGTCGTGCCCGCCTCCCCACTAATGTGTGGAGGCATGAGCTCTGCCCCAGGCACGAGCCCTGCGTTGTCCGTGAACTAGCTCACGGGATCCTCACTCCCACCCCTCGCCGGTGTCTCTGTCACCCGCTTTGAGAAAGGTGAACGAGGAGCTGCTCAGTAAGTGGAGAGCCAGGAGTCCGCCTCGTGTCTCCATCTGAAGCCCGCACTCTGAATCTCCACGCACCCCAGGAAATCGGGGTGCATCCTTGGGAAAGTCCCTTCCCTCCAGCTGGGTGCCCTATGACCCCATGCTAAGAAGGCCCAACTCCAAGAGGCTCTGTCACCCAGGATGGTGCTGGGGGAGTCTGCTGGGCACATGGGGACACCATGCAGAGACACCCCACTATTTCCATAAAGGGTTTAGGGGAACCACGGCCTCTCCTGGGTGGAGGGGGCCAAGCTAGGAGAGGCCACAGTCAAGTGTGGCCCTCCTACCCACAGGGCCCAGGGGCTGTGGGATGGCAGGCCAGGGTGCCAGGAGGATCCCAGTTCAGGTCCCAGCTGGTCTGACCCCTCTCCCACGCTTTAGCATGCTCACCTGGACAGCGAGGGCCTCGCTCGGGGCAAGGCGTACTCCCCGAGGGGCCCCAGAGCACGCACACTCCCGTGAACCGAGAGTGGGCTTGAGCCCCGCATGGCTTCTCTTGCCCCTAGGTACCTGGCACAGGGTGGGAACCCCGGAGGCGGGCGGGCAGCTCCTACCTGCAGCGAAGATGGCCAGAGAGAGGTAAGCGATGGCCTCCCTGGTGTGGGCTGTGCCCTCGGCCCCACTGGGCCTCGCCCTCAGGATGGCCAGGGCCCGAGCGTGGCAGTGGCCCCGCAGCAGCTGCCGGTCCTCGTGGCGGAACACGTCCAAGGTGGGCTGGAGGCACGCCGTGTCCCCGGACTGGACCACCTTCTTCACCAGCTGCAAGGGGCGGGGCAGTCACCCGGTTCCTCCCTGTGCAGGACCCCCAGACCATCCCACCTCATTCCCCCTTGAGGGAGCTTAGCTCACGGGGCGTGGCCCACGAGCTGGGCGTCGGGGGGCGGGGCTCAGGGGCGGCGCTCGGGGGCGGTGCTCAGGGTGGGGCTCATGGGCGGGGCTCAGGGGCGGTGCTCGGGGGCGGTGCTCGGGGCGGCGTGCTCTGAGACAGGGACTGCGCGTCTCGGGTGCTGAGCCCCGGGAAGGCAGAGGGCGGGAGGTATGAGCTTGCGTCGGGCAGCTGGGCAGCTCGTCTGGGCTGGGGGTGGCCTGGGGTGGGGGATCCCGGTGTCCCCGAGCCGGAGGACCTCCTCCGTGGCATGGAGGTGGAGATCTCGCTTCGCCGGCCTGCACACTGCAGATCCAACGAGAAGCGCGGGGAAAGAGGGCTTTCAAATTATAGGGAGATCGAGGGCACCGCGCGAGGAGCAAATGCGCTGGGACCAGTGGCTGGTCTGGGTGGAGCGAGACTCGGGGGGGACACACCCTCGGCTCTCCGAGCGGCTCGGTCCCACAGGGACCCGATGCTGCCCCTGCTGGCCCCTCGTTGAAGACACGGGTCCCAGAGCAGAAGGACCGGCCGGTTCCGGGCATCCTCCCCTCTCCCACCTGCGCGGCCTTGCGCAGGGAGACCGGGAACCCAAATCCGAGCACAGCAGAAGAAGCTGACAGGCCCCAAAGCCCGACATCTTCCCCTGGAACATAACCTTCTGACCCGGGTTCCAACCGGATGGTCTCCTAACATCCGGTTGAAGTTCTGCTTTTCCTGGGAGCAGAGTGGTCTTGGAGAGAGGTGAGGCGAGCAGGACTTGAGGACCAGGGGACCCCTCTGTCATCCACCCTCCCTGGGCAGGGTCCCCTCCAAGCCTAGTTTACTGAGAGATTTGGGACGGAGCTCAGTCCTCACCTGACTTTTGGCCCTTTTCCTTCATAACATATTGAAAGCAAATATGAAGGAATTACTGCGTGCTGGAGACCTGCTGGGTCCTGGGGTACCTGCTCCAGCTAGTTCAGGACAGCCCACAAGGGCAGGGCACAGACGAAGAGACTGAGGGTCAGGGAAGTGAGGGGGGCCTTGCTGGAGGTGGCAGAGCCTGGGGCTGGGACATGATTGACCTGCTCCAAAGTCCAGACTGTGGGGTGCAGAGTGAGGGGCCCAGAGGCCTGTGCCCTCCACAGGGCTGTGGCCCATCACCTGCCATGCTGCACCGCCCCCCCCCCCCACCCCTGGTCTCCTCACCTGGTTTGCGTCATAGAGGAAGCCCCTCCGCAGCTGCAGCAGGGCCAGTCGCACGAGCACAGGGGCTGCCTGGGGCCTCCGGGAGAGGGCCAGCAGCAGGGCCTTGTGGGTGTCCTCCAGACGGCCTAGGCGGTACAGGGCATCAGCTGCCAGGAGGCCTGAAGCCTCATCTTCCCGGTCCAGTTCCATCAGAAGCATGGCCAGCTGGTACACACCGTGGGCATCCCTGTGGAGAGAGTAGCTGGGGGATAACCAGCCTGGCCCCTGTCTGCACCCCTTTCAGCTGCCCAGGAAGGTTCTATCCCCGGGGACCTGGTCCGGGCAGCTCCTTCCCATCCAGCCACAGAGCCCTGGGGTCTGCTGGAAGGACCCTCGCACATGCTGTCTCCAGAAGCCACAGCTGCCTTCTCTGACATTGATCCCTTGGCCCTCGCTCCCCACCGCATCCTCCCACCACCCCGTGTGGCAACCATTTTGCAGTTGGAGGTGGAAGCTGTGAGCTGGCCACAGGCCAACCCTGCCTCAGTTTCCCTTTCTGTAGAAATGGGACAAGAGTGTTGGCCTTGCAGGGTTCAGGGGTGTGTTGTAGGCAGAGTTAGAGAACACACTGGCCTCACTTGGATGCTCCCGGTGCGCTGGGAGTGCGAATGAGCTCCCACTGGGAGAGGGACTGGAGCCTCCAGGAATGACAATTCCCGGAGGCAAAAGTAGAAAGGAACCCATCTCGCACACGAAATCCTCCTCACCAGCACATCGCGAGAGAGAGAGAGAGAGAGAGAGAGAGAGCGAGCACGCAGGGTGGGGAGCTGACGTCAAACACGCCCCCGCCCCCCCGCCCCGTTCAGTGCTTTGAACTTTGCTAAAACACCTTCCTGTCACCTCTTGGCAGCCAGAGAAATGCAAATCCAAACAGGGGCACCCATCAGGCTGCGAGAGAAATTCCAGTGAACATCAGGGTTGGGCGTGTGGCTAGACAGGCATACGGACATGTCAGGAAGTCAAGGACCTAACAGAGGCCTGTGCTCCATGTCCCGGAAACCCCACCTCTGTGTCCACACTCAGGACAGAACATCGTGGAGGCGTTCCTGCTCTAACAGAGGGCAAGGCTCTCGGAATGGACAAGGAATGATGGCAGGTTCGCTAGGCAGGCTATAGCTTGTGCTGCCCGAGGAGGAATCCAGAGGCAAAGGAAATGTTTGTGATCTACTGAGTGAAAAGAGTGGGCCATACATTGCCCATAGCGCTCACACTCATTTTAGCTCCCATGTGCAGAGAGAAACAACCAGAAGGGAATGTTACCTATGGGGCGATGGGAAGGTTGTATTTTTTCATTCCTTTTTAAGTTCTTAATTTTCTATGATAATTAGGCCCACAAAGCATCACATTGTTTGTGACTGAGAGTCCTAAGAAGCAGGCTCCAGTGCTAAACCTGCTGTCCATGATTCAGGGAAATATCCCAGCTGTTTCCTGCCTCAGTTTACTTATCTGTAAAAAAGGAAGACACTCACCCCTAACTACCTCACGGGAGACCAGAATGAAACAGTGGCCCCAGGGGTGCATGGGGCTAGTTTTTACCCTTCCTGCGCCTCGGGGCTGTCCATCTCCACGGCCTTACTCCGGCGGCCGGGTGCGCCCGTGAGTCCCAGGTCCGGCCTCCGCTGCAGCATCCTGCGGCCCTCTTCTCGCAGCACGGTCAGCAGGAGGCCCCTCTGGTTCCAGGGGACGTAGGCCTTGGCGATGAGCAGTGCCTCCTCGGGCTGCAGCCGGCAAGCGGTGACATAGTCCAGCGCTCCCAGGAATGCGCTACCCTCCAGCACCCTCAGCAGCCCCCGGCCACACAGAGCGCGCACGCAGCTGCCCAGGTGAGGCGGCCCGTGCTCCACCACCTCCTGGAAGTCCTCCCGGGCGCGCCCTGCGTCGCTGGCGTGCAGCGCGCAAAAGCCGCGCAGCACCAAAATGGGCGCGCGGTCGCTGGTGTGGGCCCCGACGCGGTAGTCCACGCGGTGCCCAGGACGCGCAGGCCGCAGCAAGCGCTCGCACAGCGCCCGGGCGCCCGCTACGTCCCCAGCCAGCAGCAGGCACTCGGCCAAGCGAGTGCCCAGTGCCGGGCGCACCCCGGGCGGTGCAGCGCGCAGCAGGACACGGAGTGCGCGGGTCACTGGGGCCAGCAGCTCGCGGCCCGAGTTTTCGCGGAGCTCAGCGCGGCTCCTCACGGCCTCCTGGAAGTGGGCGAAGCCCATGTCCGCTGCTTCCTGTGCCTGGGCCCGCACGCGCTCCCGGTCCCCTGCCGAGAACACTGCCTCAAACTGCTTCCGCGCCTCTGACGGGCTCTGGTGGAAGGCCTCGTGCAGGTCCCGAAGCAGGTTCCGGGCCCCACTGTCCAGAAATAAGGCGGCAGCTGCGCGGGTGACCAGCAGAGCAGCCCGACGCTCACCTGGGGAGAGAAACAGAGGCTCCGGTCCTGCCTCTAGGCCCACGTCCTCCCTGGTGCCACCGGCAGCTGCTGACGGTCCAGCGCTTTGGACCCTCTGAAGCATCTCAGGGCATCTTCCTAGAGTGTCCCAGTAGCCCAGGACATTGTATCATGATGCTAGACCTTCAGCGACAGAGCAGAATCAGGAGGGACAGCTGGGTGGGTGTGGTACACATACCTACCCAACAGTGTTATGGCCCATGGGTTTAAAGTCAACCTCACCGATTGGCCAACAAGGAAATTTAGTTACGAAACCTCCTTACTCTTTAATGATGGATTTGCGGAGTGAGTTTCCTCTTCTGGGATCAGTGCCCCCAGGTCAGTGCAGAGGTTCTGACCCTGTGACCTTGGGAGGGGCTGGTTGCTACTCCTGCATCTTTGCTTCTGGCCTTCTTGGGGCAAAGTTGGGGCCCAGCGCTACCCTCTGAAACAGGGAATGCCCTCAGGTACAGGAAAGCCGGAAAGGCACACCCACTGCTGCTTACACGACGGGGGCTTGGGCCGGTTACCGGATCTCACTGTGCCTCAGTTTCCTTTTCTGTTTTATAATGCGGTTTAAAATGGTCTGCACTCACATGGCCATGAGGATGAAATGGATTAATGCTCATCTAGTGCTTGGAACAGGGCCCGGGGGTTTTTACTCAGGGAGGTTCCCATCAGCAACAGCGCCACCCCACCTCCTCCTATTTAATGTCTGAGTGTGCTTGTGAAGATGGGGGCTTTCTCTGGATATGGGTGAAATGGAAGTCTAAAAATTTTAATTTCATCAAATACTCCAAATTTCCCTTTACTCTTTCCACTTTTTGTATCTTAAGAAGTCCAGCTGTCCGTAGAAATCTCAGTGAGATTCTCTCATATTTTCTTTAGAAACTATAAAACTTAACTATCATACAATCCACTTGGAATTAATTTTTTTTCTCCCAGAATCAGCACCATCCACTGAATAATGGTCCTTTTCTTTCGCTACAGATCTGTGATGCTCTCTCTCACATATTAAGTTCTGGATGCCTATGGATCTGTTTCCGGCCTTTCTAATTTGTTTTATTGGTCTTCCTATCAATCCCTTAAGTCAGCAGCCTTCTGCATTGGGTAGTATAGCTTTGTAACAACTGGTAGAGCAAATACGTAGAAAATATATGCAAAATATACAATGGGCAAAAGATTAATACCCAGAGCATTTGAAGAATTCCTACATATCAATAAAAAAAAATCCAATAGGAGAATTGGCAAAAGCATTTCCCATAAGAGAAAACACAGACGGCAAAGAAACGTGACAAATGTTCAGCATCGTAGTAATGATGCAAATGCAAATTAAAACAATGAGATACCACTTTCCACCCACCAGATTGGAAAAATTTTTAAAATTAAATTAATTTAATTTAATAACTTGGCCTCACTAGTAATCAGGAAAATTAAAATTAAAACAACAGTGGAACAATGGGATAACATTTTGTGTCCTCCCATATCTGTCACAATTTTTAATTCAGGATCACACGGCATCACGCCTACGCCACTATTTCATTGATCCCAGCATGTCTGGAGGCCAAGCCAATTTGCCCCCTTGCTGGAAGGATCCTAAAACGACCAGGGCCATGATTTCCACCTACGGCAGTAGCTCTTAATGAAGCACCTTGAATGAAGGAGATATGGCTGTCCCGGGTGCCGAGAGAGCCGTGGTGCCTGGACGCTTACCCATGGGAGATGCGAGTTAAAATTGTACTTATTCTTGTCTTCATACAGAGTGTCCCTGAATGTCTGCTTGCGGAGAAGGGCAGAGCACTTTCTCAAATACACGGTGTTTCTTCCGTGTTTTCAAGGACCCTTATAAGTAACCTTGGGATTAGAACACACTTGCTACAGGAAATTGTGTTTGTAAAAAGTCGGTTAGAGGCCTTTACTTATTCATGTTGTGAGCCACGTTTGTGCTAATGGTGGCGATAAGGTGACTCCCTGTGACATAAGTGACTTAGGTCTAATTAATGCAGCGACTCTTAGGGAGGGTGGGCCTGTCCGCTGCGGAGCCAAGGCAGCCCAGACAAGCTTCCTGGAGTCGGGGGGCGGGGCGGGCAGGGCTTACCCAGCACACTGGCTCCCTGAGGTTGTAGCCTTGGGAGTTCCGGTCTCCATGGGGGTCTCTGCCGTTGGTCGTTCTGGTGGAAGGCCCCTCCCCGCTGGGCGTTGCTGATGCCCTAGCCTCAGTATCCCCGCTCACAGGACACTGCACGTTTATGCTTTGGGCATAGAGGGTACCCTACTTTCTCATGAGCTCAGGATTCTTGGTGACTCTGCTGAGCCTGTTTCTACCTTTTATAGTAGGAGGACTTCGGCCTTCTGATCTAGCTTATTTCCAGAAACAAATTTGCCCACTCACTTGTCAGTTCTCTCTGTCTGATCCCTGCCTCCCCAACACACAAACATTGGGGTCACCAGCAAACCCCATGTGCACAGAAAACAGACACCGTCTGTCCTCTCGTCATGCACGTGGCATCGCGTGCCTCAGCCTCTTGCAAGCACCTGCATCTTCTGGCTCTCGTCAGCACCCTGTGTTCTGTTTCTGCTGCTGGGAATCATTTAGCCTTAACTCAAGTGACACCTCCTCCAAGAAGTCTTCCCTGACCACCCAGCTAGAGCAGCACCTGGCAGGGTCCATTTTTCAAAGCACATATTTTGTTTGTTCCTTTTCTTGGGTGCTCTGTAAGGACAGGGCTTGTCCATCTTGTCACTGTGGTGTCCCCAGCCCAGGAACAACCTCCCACCCTACCATAACCAGGACTTAAGCATGCTGTGAAGGCACGACGGGAGCGACGTTCAACCTGGCCTCACTCTTACCTGGGAGTCTGCTGCCTGTCAGGTCAGACTCAAGGGCCCGGCTGCACACCACCCGGCAGTCCTCATACCGGCCACTGCGGAGCAGGGCTTCTGGTGACAGGGCATCGCTCCAGGTGCCTTCGGGGTCCAGGGCTGCCAAGAGTCCCTGGCAGCCAGCTTCCTGCTGGCGGATGCTGTCCTCAGCCTCCCGGCGCCCTGAGATATGGTCCTGCAGGGTGCTTATCAGCATGGGGAGATGGGGCTGCTGGTGGGTGCGAACGAAGGCCACGGTCCGGTCTGCACTGGAGGCAAAGGCCTGCACATAGTCTGCCACGCCAGCGTCCACCTGCACCCCGGACAGCACGCGGGCCAGGGCGCGTGTCAGCTGGAGCTCCAGGGCTCGCTGGGAGCGTGCATCCAGCAAGGTGCTGCAGCGCTGAGCCACCTCCTGGTGGCGCCCCTGAGCCAGCAGACTGGCCAGGGAGTGCAGGACCGCGGCGGGGTGGTCCGGGCAGAGGGTGGCCAGGAACGCGGAGGCCAGGGTCCGGGTCAGGGAGACAACCGCCATGCCGTCCCAGTGGATGGCGGGGATCTGGCTGTCACCGCGGCACCAGGCCTCCAGGGTGGCCAGCACCGGTGCGCCTCGGGCCTCAGCCAGGGCGGTTCTGACGCTCTGCACGGCCGAGGGGGCGTGGCAGCTGAAGGCCGCCAGGTAGAAGGCGGTGGCCGAGGGGAGCTCTCCCAGGGCCAGGCGCTGGTCTCCTTCCCGGCAGAGGCAGGCCACAAGCTCCCGCGCCGACATTACGGCTGCGCCCCTGACCGGCCCAGGTCTCGTCCTCGCGGGCACCTGGGGCGGGGGGGAGGCGTGGTTAGTCCCCACCTCTCCCCACGGAGACCCCAGACCAGCGCAGAGCGCCTTGGAGGGAAGAGCCGGGTGGGGCTGGCACATCTGCCAGGGTCCGCCAGGCCAGGGCCCTCTGCAGAACGCGACCCTTACCCTGCTGGGCGGCCCACGCGAGGAGCCGGGTGGCCTGCGGGGTCAGGGGGTCCAGGCCCTTGCTCCCCACACCACAGCCAGCAGAGGACTCCGCGGGAACGTGGGACGCCCCCCCCCCCCCCCCCCCCGTCCAAGTAACACAGGCCGCCTTCTCCGAGCTCCGAGGCTCTAGAGACCCGCGCAAAGTCAGGGCCCGGCCTCTGCCCACCTCCCACCGCCCGCCGTTCCGGGGGAAGCGCGGGGCTGCGGCGACGTCGGCGCCCTTGCCTGGCTCTTGGCCGGGGGTGGGGAGCCTCGTAGGCCCAGGCCAGGGGATCGCTGAGATTGGTTCTGGGGACCAGCCCCTGTCACTCCCCTCCCACTTCCCCAAACCGGATCTGAAGTATGAACTGCCCCGCTCGGGGACCGTCTCTGTAGGGTCCTGAAGTGCCGGCACCCAAGCCCCGCCCAGTGCACGCCCCGTGAGACAGACGCCCGCACCAGCGCCCCGAGACGGCCCACGCCTGCACACGCACGCAGGCACACACGCCCACACACACTCACGTCTGTGCACTCAGACACGCGCACTCGCCTGTGCTCCGAGGCCGTGCGGGGTGCGCGCGGCGGGCGGTGGGGAGCGGCGGTGGGTGCGGCTCCGCCCCGGGGTCGGTTTCCCGGGAGAGCGTCAACACCCCGCCGGGCTCCGCCCCCGCCCTGCCCCGTCCCCGCCCCGTCCCGTCCCGGATCCCGCCCCCTCCCCGGACCCCGCCCCGACCGGACTCCGCCCCAGCCCTGCTCCGGACCCCGCCCCTCCCCGCCCCGGACCCCGCCCCGGACCCCGCCCCAGCCCCGTCCAGACCCCGCCCTACCTCCCGCAGGCCCTCGCTGGGGAAGGGTCGGGGAGGAAGAAGGCGGAGCTGCAAGGGAGAGAGACCCCGGGTTTGTGGGGGTCTCGGGGCCGCTCCCTGCCGAGGCCAGCCCTCACCGCATCCTCTCCGCACCCGCACAGATGAGGAGGGAGCTCCGCGGGGGAGAAGCCCCTGGGCCCGGCCCTTCCTGAGCTCTGCCTTCTCGGGGCCCTTCCTCGCCAGCCCTCTTCCTGTGCAACTTGTCGGTTGCTTTCGGGGAAACTGGCCGCCGCGGGCCACCCCTCCGCCCGGGCTCCTGTGGGTCTCTCCGACCCCTCCCCCCGCCGTGGGTCTCCTCCCCACACGGGCTCCTGCCCACACCCCGGCAGGGGGACGTTTCCACACATCAAGCTTCTTCCTGCTGACTTGCTCACTCCGGCCCAGGCCACCTGTGTGGAGCAGAGGCCGGCCCTCCTCGGGACACGGCCCAGAAGGTGGCTCTGAGGGGCTGTGACTTGAGACTGCAGGCCGGGGGTCACCCTCACTGTAGCCAAGGAAGGGTGCAGCGTCTGGTGACTGTTTTGGGAACCCCCCCATCTCCTGCCACCCCCACCAAAGCAGCAGCAGTGAGAAGCAAAGGCGGCCGGAGGCCTCAGCGGGCAGGGGCTTTGCCCTTAGGGCTGAGATGCTGAGCCTCGCATGCGCAGCGAGTGGGAGTGGGGGACGCTGGGCAAGGTCGACGCATGTCCCTGGAGAGATGGTCTTGCCTTGGCGGAGTGCCCTAGTTCAAGCTGCCAAGGCGCCCAGATGCCCAGTAAGCCCTCATCCCTCCGCAGGGCTCAGGGAAATGGGGGGAGTGGCTGGTGGCAGAGTGGGGGCAACACGGGTGCCGTGAGACAGGGTGGGGGGGCTCCAGCAGTAAGGGCCGCTGCATCTCCAATGTCCTTCCCAGGGTCCAGGTCTCCTGGGACGCGGACTGTGGCCAGTTGGCCCATTGGGGGGCACCAGGCACAGAGGCAGAGTCTGGGATCCAGGTGTGCAGGGGGCAGGCCCGTGCTCCCTGACTTTCACAAGGGCACAACACCCGAGCGGTGAACGTGGTGGTGACAGTTTATTAAGAGCTCCCCCATGGTTCTGATTACTTTCACTGATTACTTTCACTTAAAAACCCTAATTAGGCAAAAGCCATAATGGAGCAGGGCTGCCCCACGGGGCTGTAGGGAGGCCCAGGGCATGTAGGAGGGAGGGCTGCCTGACATTCGCATCCCATTAGGCCTGATGGGCCCCCCTGCCTCTGTGCCCTGCACACGGTGCCCACAGACCTGCAGCGCAGGCCAGATGGGCTGGTGCTCTCAGTGGGTCACCACCTGTGATCCCGGGCCCCACCTGAGCACAGCACAGGCAGACGCAGGTAACCCCAGGGTGCCTGCTTCCTGCCACAGGGTGGACGTTTCAGGATGCAGGACCACGAGTAGGTCTCATGTACACAGACGTGTGTTGCTGAGGCCTTGGTGTGATCCCAATTCAAAAGGAAGCAGACTTCCTATACAAAGGGTTTCTTGCCGGTTTTGAGCCGTATCAGGTGGCGCTGCTGTGCCCAGCAGACCTTGACGGGACAGCACAGGTGGTCTTTGGCGGGGGAGTCCATGTCTCATCCACAGCTTTAGGGGAAATAGGGTCTCCCTGTGGTATAACCCACAACCACTGCATGTGAAGCCCGGGCCCCCGGGGGCTGGTCCTCCCGCCCCAGAGGTGGCTCTGGTTTATGCTGTCAGACCTGGCTGGGTTCAGGGAGGGAGAGGCGTGCCCCTGCGGGACTCCTTGTGCAGCCCGATACAGCCATGGAGTGGGAGCTCTAAGGGACCTGAGCACCTGTGTCGTGGCCCCAGCAGGAGCACAGGGTCCTGCTCTAGATGTCATTCCAGTCATTCCCAACTCTGGGCTGAAGCCCCACCAGCTGGAAAGGAAGCTCTGAGGCCTTACCAGAATTTTCTTGGGTTTGAGCCAAAGGACAACAGGGAAGTTGGAAACAGAAGGAGTTTAGGGATGTGGACTGTCGGCTTCAGCCTTGGCATTGACCCTACAGTGTTGTGACCTTCGCCTTGTGGGAGGCGGGGTTGGCGGGGCATCCCTGCGCCCTGTCTGTGGGCGGCGTGGCTGCGAGGTCTCCCATTCGGCCCCCACTGTCTGTTCTCCCAGCTCCGGCAGGCGGCGAAATCATTAGGAAACTTCGCAAACCTTTTGCCCAGGATGTTTTCTAGGCCACAAAGGCCCCGAGGCTCGGAGTCCTCTTCGTAAAAGGTGTGCTTTACTCACGCTTGCCCATCCCCTGCCCTCCAGAGACCCAAGTGCTCCCGCAGGGGAGGTCCCAGTGCAGAAAGTGGGGACCATGCCCTGTCCTGCTGCCCCACCGCTGCGGCCCTGGCTGCAGACCTCGCTGTGGCCTTGGAAGGCTGCTCCCTCCCAGTGAGGAGAGAAGTCTGGGCTTCCCAGGTGCCCAGGAGCTGCCACCACAGCCAGAGCCCAGCACAGGGGTCCCAGGTGGGGACCCTTGGCATGACCCTTGGCATGACCCTGGAGGCAAGCTGGCTAGGCCTTGCTCTCCTGGCTCATGAGGGTGGGGAGGCCAACACGGCCAGGCCCAAGCATCCACTCAGTGATGGCACTGTCTCCCTGGGGTTCCCTGGGGCCGCCTGACCCTTACCCCTCCCCCAGGGGCCCAGCTGGAAGGCAGACACATTCTGTCTCAGCCAACCCCAATTAGAGAGGGAAATCCCTTAGCAACAGCCTGTGACGATACCTAATGCCCCCAAAAGGTGATTGTGGGCTCTGTCCACGGTGCCTCCTGGCCGGACAGCCATTCAAGGCTCTGGTCACTTCTCCGGGATCAGCATCCACCCACCATCCTGTCACCCCCAGGGTGTGGGAGCCCACCCAGAGTCCCCCGGCTGCCGGGCCTGGGACACCCTCGGGACTCTGAGGATCCCCTCCCTCACTCCAAGAGGCTCACCTGTGGCAGCAGGAGCCAGACAGTGGCAGGGATCCGGGACGGCGGTGGCTGGGGACCTGGTTGTCACCAGGTGAAATATCAGCCTCTTGTCCCTGTGGCCAGACAGGCAGGACTTGATGGAGTCGCGCCGTCCTCTGGAGCCTGGAGGCTGTGTGGGGAGGCCCCCTCCTCTCAGGGCCCTTCCTCCTCGCTGCGGACCACCCACAGGCCTGGACCCCTCCCTCAGCCTGGCAGGCAGGCGCCACACCTGTCACCGGGGTGGCTCCTCCTATTGGATCTCCTGATCAATAATGCAACGGGGCGGGGGAGGGGAGGAGCGCCCCTGCCATTCCTGTCACCCATCTGCCCACCTGTCGCCCTAGATTGCTTTAATCTCAGGTGCAGACGTGGTGGCTTGCCCAGGGCCACCCCTGCATTGGGGGTGCTATTGTGCGGGAAGCTTTGGTTTAGGGAGGAGCACATTTGAGATATGCCAATGGAAATGGTTCTTCCTCAGATGTTCTCACGAACACTGCTGGGGTGTCTATAAATGAACAGCTTCTGCTCCATCCCTCAGCCCAGCCATCCTGGCCCCCTTGCTGTACCCAACCCCACCCGTTCCTCCACAAGCCTGTTCCTGCCCCAGGGCCTTTACACAGCCGGCCCCTCTTCCCCTACCCTTCCTCCCTCACTTCCTTCAGGTTTGAGCTCACTGGTCCCTCCTTAGAGAGACCTTCACTGACCCCCTCATCGAAAACGGCTCCCCGGTTTTCTCTGCCTCTTCACCTGCTTCCCTACCCGGTGTCACGCACCTGTCTATTGTTGGCTTTTTTCTTTGGGATGTTGGCTCCAGGAGAGCACGGTTGGGCTGGGTTGCCGTTGTCCAGAGGGAACCTGACAGAGAGGGAAGGAAGGAAGGAGGGGAGGGAGGTAGAGGGAGGGAAGGAGAAGTTTGGAAAGTTTCTTTCCCCAAAGCAGCCCAACTTTCTCCTTTGCCTCTCCCTTC